GCAGTAAATCTCTACTTCTTGCAAATATTGCTGCTTGCCCAGTCTTACTGCCATAGTGTGTGATGGTTTCCCCACATGTGCGACAGTTGTTTTGGGCAGAATGGATACATGCCGTAAAACAGCACTCAAGTCTTGTGGAAGCCCTAAAAAGAGTCAGTCTAGTGTCCACTGTCCAGGTGCATCTATTCTGCTTTTCCTTTTATAAAGGGGTCAAAGGTGGCAACCCAGTGTGTGTGTGTGTTCTTCCTGTGTTCATGAAAAGAGATATGCACTGAATTTTCTGAAGTCACTGCAGCCTTTTATTAATCTAATCCATAAAGCAAGCCGAGAATTTTGATCCAGCCGTGACTGGCCTGGCAAGTGACTACAGATGTTACTTTTAATGTGTTCATGCTTTTTTTCTAAAAATAAGTTGTTATATCTAGTGCATTAAACAGCAGGATTAAAAAACTTCTGAGTATTTGGAATTTTGTGTTAAAAAGTTGGAGTTTAGGTGTTTTTGATCTCAAGCCATTGAGCTTTTGCTAAGCTTCATAATGTTTAATTGGCAATTGTGTTTTGTTTCTGATCTGGTTGGAGATGTAGCTTGGATGAACTGTAAAGAAAGTGCAGTTTGAAGGAATATTCAAACAGCAGAATTCCTGTAGCAACACTGGTTTCTCCTGGCTTTCCATACTTTTTATTACTTAGGTGCTGAAAATGGAAGCAGTAGTTTCTACGAGGTCTTTGGTTACATTTGGCATGGAAAAATTCTCCCATTTTTGAGGGAAGAACTTGGTGTTGAGTATCGCTGATGGCCAGTTTAGTGAGAAAGGCAAGTTTGGTCCTTGGATAAATTGCTGTACATCATTATAAGAAATGCAGGGAAACTACTGTTATGCTTTCTGTTTGTGCTGAAGGAAAGCTTTTCAGTGCTAAAATGATACTCAACCATTCTTGCTTTCTTCCCCAGATGGGCCAATGATACTATTTATAAGGAAAAGATGTTACACTCTGCTCTTTAGGAGATGGTTTTGCATCCCAGTGAAGTGCACCATGCCAGTTGGCTGGCTGTGCTCCCGCTTTCAGGATTTTTATTTCATTTATTTATACCTGTCCCTTGATGGAGCATTTCTGCTGCAGGACTCCTAAGTGTTTTGAGCTGACTGGAATCTCTGTGCTTCCAGACACCAACAGCATCACAAGGGGCCCACAGGGTGGCAACAGCAGTTTCCAGCTCTGGCTGTGGCCTGAGGCCATTCTGCAGCATTGGCAGGTGTGGTAAGTTTTTGTCCCTCCAGACAAAAGTGCTTGCAGCCTCTTTGGGAGTGATTGAGCATTTCTCTTTTATTACGTTGGCATCGTGGATGCTTTGTGGAGAATTACTGACATGTAACTCTCTCCTTTAACCTGTGAAAGAAGCTGCTGTTGCTTTTGGATCTTGTAAATGGGAGTCAGAGCTGTCCAGGCACATTTCTTCTAGACATTGTCCAACACTTGCCTCAGTCCTAACTGCCTGCCAGTCTCAAACCCCACAAAATACAACACAGTATGGATATATTTCTAGGTAAACTGCATTCATAAGCAGTCTCCCCCAGTAAAAATTACTCTTAAATTTCTATGTAATTTCCCAAGTAATGGCAAAATAGTGACTCACATAGAATGAATTTTCAGTGATTCCCAGTGACCACCAAGGTCATTCAGTGGATGAAGTTTTGTGGAATGTGTAGTGTAGCATGTTGATGTGTCTAAGATATGATCAGATTCATATGGATTTAATGAACTTGTGTGGCACCTTTTTGTTAAGGAAATGCCAGTGGTAGGTCATGACAGGTTCCTCATGCAGCGTAAATCCTGCTTTCTTTATATAACTTTGCTAGGAATAAAGGAAAAATAGTTGGAAAGAACCTTGTTCTTTTGGCAAAGGCAGTTTTAATTAGCACAATCACTCTAAGTGGTAATGTAGAAGCTGCCACTGTGAGATTTGTGTTAGAGTAGTTTGGGGTGATTGGTAATTATCTGCCCAGAACTTGTCCAGCACAGTGGTCTATGTTGCCAAGTTTTGCAGGGGGAGATCTGTTTACAGGTGATTATTGACCATGGCTGGTGCAGCATCATCTGTGTACTGCTTTTGGCTGAAAGGTGTCAGTGGGTGAGGGAGAAAAAAACAGAGCTTGGTCTTTGCCCCAAGCCATGTGGGTGTGATTTGTGCATCTCTCCTGCTATTCTGCAGCAGTGGTCTCAGCATTCTTCCATCCTCTGGATAGCTCCAAAAACTGCCACTGAATAAGGTATTATTTCTGATATGTGCTATGTAATATAAACTTTCAGGGGAAAATAAAAGAGGAAACTTTAATCTGATGAAGACCCATTGTGTATTGGTAGGAAGTGCTTGTCAAGCACCGATTCCTTTTTCTTTTAAAGTCTCAGCTAAATTAATTTGATTATTTGAGATTCTTCTGCCATCTTAATTACTCTTTATGAAGCAGATAGCAGTGTGCTGCACAGGACAGTGCTCTGAGTATTTTTTATACCACCTGCTTGTGACAGCTGAGGCTGAGACAAGTCTGTTTCACTGCTCTGGTATTTCATCAGCTGTGAATTTGCAGTAAGGTGATAAACACCAAACTGGTGTGGAACTGACTTCTGCTTCCCCTGATGCTGTTAGAGAATAGGGATAGGATTACTGTCTGCTTTGCAAATGACCTTTGTACTTAAAGTAATGTTATTTTGGCTTCTGTGTTTTTAAGGATCTCTGAACTCCATTAAACATTTCATAGGGTTGCTGTGTAGCTTTAGATTTTCTCATAGGATAACTTGATTAGGCTAAAGTATTTAGAAAGGGGAACAGAAACTGGCTAATAGGTATGTCAAGCTCTAAGAGAAAATGTACAAGATTCACTAATTAGAAGCTTGGTGAATTCATAATGCAATTAAGTCTTTTGACATCAAAGAAATAATTCAAGCTTAGGCCTTGGTAGAGTTACTAAAGCTACAAACTGAAGGACAGCTGCATTAACAAGAGATGGTCTAATTCAAACAAGAACTCAAGTGGCAGGACCTGAAAAATGTGGCTTAGCTGGTAGATCAGGCTGGGTATTCTTTTTGTCCCTGACCTTACAGGTACTACTGTTTCAGTTCTCTTAAGCCTTCAGCTCTAGCTTTGTACTCCCTGTGCCTGTAGTCGATGTAACTGTGAACCCTCTGCACTTAAAAGTTTGTACCCCATAAATACGTGCTGAAATCTCGGAGTTTCAGTCTTCGTTTTAATGCACTTTTTGTCTTCAAAATTTTTTAAAAATCTTTCTCATAATTCATTTCATAACTGGTTTCTTAAATAAAGGCAATTGGCTTTCTTTTTTGTCCGGTGAAATACCCCAGCTTTTTCTTGTGTGCCTCTGAAAATAATTTAGATGTGAGAATCCATTTTCCTGAAGACTGAGCATCATTTTCATCATCATTCTACATTCAGGGCACTGCCTACTCCCCCTACTCCATGAAAATTAAATAGCGTATATCTCCTTAAGGGCCTGTGAAACAGAAACAAAATAGGCCTTGACCTTGCTGAGCTGGCAAACTACAATTTTTTTATTAGAGATAAACAGAATAATTTGTATATTGCCTAGCCTGAAAGTAATCCCTTGTTAGTACAGGTGCACTCAGTGTAAACAGTAAGTGGTTTGGATTTGCTCATATTGTAATTGGGCCTCCAAGTTCACAAGCATTGGTTAGTGAGCCGTGGCTCATCTGGACAGCTTTGCCTTAGTAACTGCAAGGTTGTGTCTTCTTGCACACCTGGTGAAAGTTCAGGTTGAAACTTTCTTCCATTAGTGTGGTGATTTGTAGCTGGATGCGCAGAGGTGGATCTATGTTGCAGTGCCAAACTGAGCAGTTTTTCAGCCCTGTGTCAGGAGTGTGGCATCATCCAGCCATACTTGGACAGGAGTGGACAAGATGAGGTCTATCTGCATTCCTCCATTGTGCTTGTTAAGAAATGCCTTGGCATGGGGGTGAATGACAAATATACCTTAAATATTAATTCTTTATGGAAAAGTATCTAATTAGTACTCTCAAGTGTAAGGCCCTTCCTGAATTTAGGAGCCTAAAGTCACCTTGACTGTTCCTTCACACTGGTGATTCTGTGATGAGATTGTATTTGTGAGAGGGAGGAGTGATCTAAAATCTCTCTGTGTGGGTAAGAAGCTGAATCTCTCACAGCCCCAGTTCTCTTGTGCTAGAACTGGCTGTTTTGCCTTTACTTTGAGCAGGAGAATGAGCTTTCTGATCTTTTTGGAAAACTGTAAGTGGGGAGAGGTCAATTAAACAGTTTGAAATTCTAGGATAATGACTATTTAGGTTTTGTACTAGAGGAGGGGGAAACAGACCAGGAAACTCAGAATACTTGACAGCTTTAGCATGTATGCCTGTGTGAAGGAAGAAGTGGACTATTTCCACGAGGTGGAAGAGGTAGTTTCAAGTTCCCATCTTTAAAAAAGGCATGTGTAGGACCTGCATCTGGTTTTGTCACGTCTCTCAGAATTTATCATTTGTGAAAGACAAATGACCACATATTGAGCATGGAAATATTAATGGACTTGGTTCCAACTTCCCACATATTTTTAGACAACCTCTGTTAAAATAGAAATTTCATCCTCTCCCAACCTTTGGCTCATAGAAGATTGTTAAGTTTGATCATACTGTAAGAAACTAATAATTGTTAATGTGGATATAGCAAGAACTTGGAGTTTTACATTCACATTTTCCAAGTACTAATGCTTTCCTTTCTACATTAAAAATGTGGCCTACCAAAACACTAACAAATGTGACACATTTTCTGATAGGGAGGAAGTCACTGACATTGCTATTTTTAGCATGCCAGAAGGCTGTTCTAATACAATAAATTTAGTCGCCAGTATTAAAAAGAAAACATGAAGCGTTAATGAGCATACAGGAGGTAGAGTGTAATGGCAGCTTACAGAAATTGTCTCCACCCAAAAATGCAGTATTTTCAGTCTTTCAAACACAGCATTAGACATTTAATTGCATCTCTTTTATTTCAAATGCAGGATAATTCCCTGAGTAAGCAGTTTTTTTACTTAAATAAAACTTTTCCAGAACTTAACCGTGTGGAAGAAGTTCACACAGACGACAGTGAGCTGGAGATGGCACATTCTTTGGCCCAGGGAAGTAGTGTAGTGGTCTGGCAGGAGCTCTTGGACTGTTCATTTCCAAAGTTTCACCCTGTACTGTCACCAGCCTCCTTCAGCACTGCTGTCTCCCCCACCTCTGCATCTCCTCTCTGACTGATCTCTGGGGTTTGAATTCCTCTTTGACTGTGCTGCCATGAAAGGGATTTTTCATACTTGGTCTTAAAAAGTAATCCATGACCTGGAAAAGCAGAAGGGGGAAAAAGGCCCAAACCAACATCCTGAAATGAGATGACTACAGTGGTAAACAGCATACCTCATTCCTTAAAAAGAATGGGTCTTTACAGACTGGGAACTGCATCCCGAGGCATTGGAAGCAGGAGCAGTGATAGAAGGAAGAGCAGTCTTTTAAAATGGTACTAGAAACTTTTACATAGCATGTAGCATTTTAGGTACTGTGTAGATTTTAACACCCACCTACACCCCATAACCCAAAGATTAAGCAATGAATATACATGAGAGATTGATTAGATGTTTCCTTTATGCCTGGAAAGGTCAGATACGCTTACCTGGGCAATCTGCTACCTCCTTGAATGCCCTTTTCTTACAGCATCCTCGGCACATGTTAAACACACATTTAGTGCCCTGGGTTGGGATAGTGGTATAAAGAAGCTTTGTCAGTGAAAATAGAATTGTTACTGTTTACTAAAATAAGTAACAATACAGCTCTGCACTTTCAGATCTTCGGGGAAAAAACGCGTACTCGGCCTAATGAAGATGACAGAGTTGATGTCATATTGGGTGCTACTCACCGTTTGCACATAAAGAACAAAAAAACCCCAACCAACCAACCAAAAAAAAAAAAAAATCCACATTCAACTTGTGCAACCCCCACAGCCTGTTGGGCAGCCCGAGTTACCCACCACAAGAAGCCACATGCCATAAGCCTCTGGAACAAGCATGAACATATTTGGTGCTAATGAGCCGGCTCTAGTTCTCTGCAACATGAAACACAGTGCTATCATCTGCAGCTATGCCTACAATATGTTACCACCAGAATTACTTCCCTACTTGCATCCTAAAATAAACCTGCATATGTACTAAAGTATAATGTATGACCCTTAGGGGACAGCAGCAGCTGAGTCTTGGCTAACTGATGAGGTGGCAGAATGAGCCTGGGTCTCTGGGGTGCTTTGCTGACACACATTTTAGAAAAGAGAGTTGATACTGTTAGTTGATATTGGTTTGTTTATTGTTTACATGGTTCCCTTCACCCCAGTCAGAAAATTCTTCATGTTTAGGGAGGCTTTAGTTGAGTTCCTTCTCCTTTTTCTTCTCCACACCTCCACAGCCCCCAGCCCATTTCATGACATGGGTCAGAAACACATAATATAGGGGAAAAAAAATAACTAGAGGCCTAGTCAGAAGATTTCAAGAGCTACCTGCAACACTACAGTGATGCAACAGCAAAACAAAAATAAGTCTAAGTCTTGGTGCAGACAATCTTGGTTTATGCACCAAGCAATGTCATCTGGATTAGCTATGAAATAGAATGGCTTTGAAAGCAGGCCAGCCTAGTGCTCAATGCTTTCCCAATAATGATCACAGGAAAAAAAAAATCTCATTTTTTTCAGTAGTTGCAGCTTCAAATTGAGCCCCAGCTGGCTGCCACTGCTTCACTGCAATAACAGTATTACAACAGGGAGCAACATCACATGCTTGTGTTGCAGGCTCCCCTGCCCCCTGAGGTGTAATGTTAATTTTTAAGCCAGAACACAAAATTACTTGCATCTTACACCCCACTTTACAGGTATATTAGCAGCAATAAATACACTCTGCTCACACACCTCAGCAACACCACCCTATCAAGCAAACAGCTATGTTCCCCAAGGGAAAAAATAAACAAACAAAAGGAAAATGAATTCTTTGCAAATATCAAAATATTTGAAATTTCAATACATAACCTGTAAAACCAGCTGCCTCATTTCACATTGCTAAAAGTGAAAGTCAATCTGCTGCAAAGGCAGGACTGAGGATGAGAAGGTGCTTAGGCTTATTCTGGTCAAGGCAGAGATCCAAACACAACACAAAACAGAGCTGCAGATGCTGCCTGACACTGCAGGCTGTACTGCAATGACATTTGAAGTATTTTTATTTTACACTAATAACCACACCAGTTATTCAAATTTCCCCTTTGCAGAAAAACTCCACCCACCACTAACCCCAGTAAGAGGGGTTTTGTTTTTCATTTCACAGTAAAATATGCACATCATACATGTCTAGAAGTTTGGAGATTTGTTTCCAAGGTATCTTGGGAAATTCAATTAACTCACTCAACTGTCTTAGCAATAAATACCCTCCAGCAGCAGCAGGACTGCACATTTTTGGAGAGGAAGGCAAATTCTCTCGAAGAACCTATGTATGTCAAGGATTTTTGTGCAGCACCTTCAACCTCAGATACTGGTTACAGTTAATGGTTAAAAAGCTTCTGCCCAAGTATGGACTTTCCTCCCCACACACACACACTTATCAGCAGGACTTGGCATGCACCTGTGTGACTGGGCACTGGCAAAGACCTACCTCAGGATCTGGAATAACAGAATAGAATCACAGAATAGTTTGGGTTGGAAGGAGCCTTTAGAGGTCATGTACTCCAACCCTTGCAAAGAGCAGGGACATTTTCGACTAGATCAGATTGCTCAGAGCCCTGTTCAACCTGAACTTGAATGTTCCCAGGCATGAGGCATCCACAACCTCTCTGGGAAACCTGGTCCAGTCCACTGCCTCACCATAAAAAATGACTTCTAATCTAAGGCACATCTACTCTGAATCTACTCACTTTAAACCCATCACCCCTTGTCCTACTCCAGCAAGCCCTGCTAAAAAGTCCATTGCTGTCTTTCGTCTAAGTCCCCTTTAAACACTGGAAGGGGCAGTAAGGCTCCCCAGAGCCTTCTCTTCTCCAGGCTGAAGCACCTGTCTCTCAGCCTCTCTCCATGACAGAGGGACTTCATCCCACAGTCATCTTTGTAGCCTTCTCTGGACTTGCCCTAACAGTTCCATGTGTCTCCCGCACTGAGGGCCCCAAAGCTGGATGCAGAACACCAGCTGAGGGTCTCACAAGAGCAGAGTAAAGGCACAGAATCCCTTCACCCTGTGACCTGCTGTCCATGCTGCTTTTGATGCAGCCTAGGACACAGAGGCTTCCTGGGCTGTGAGTGCCCATTGGTGAGTCATGACCAGCCTCCCATCCACCAGCACCCCAAAGTCCTGGGTAGGGCTGCTCTCAATCTGTTCATCCTCCCAGCCTGGATTTGATACCAAGTGCAGAATCTCGCACTTGGCCTTGTTAAACCTCGGAGTTCCCACAGGCCACTGCTTGAGCTTGTCCAGTCCCTCTGGATGGCCCTGTTCCTCAGGTGTGTCATCACTCCACTCAGCTTGGTGTCATCTGCAAGTGTGCTGAGGACACTCTTGATCCCACTATCTACATTACTGATGGAGACATTGAACAGTGCCGGTCAATGAGGGACACCATGTGTCACCTGTCTCCATCCAGACATTGCAGGATTGATCCCTTTATGGACATTTAATTTCCATTGAACGGAAATGCTTTTACGGACACTTGTACTGACTTACCTTAGGGTTTCCACATTGATCACATTTTGCATACTTGGCTGAGAGAGAGAGAGAGAAAAAGCTGATTTCACCAATGGTATTTTTATGTGGAAGAACTTAGAAAAAAACCAGAACCAGACAAGGCTTGGTGCTTTTCTAGCCAGAGGCTCTTTTTAAAATAAAAATACAGTACCTCAAAAAACAATGCAAAGGTAAAAGTACTTTGAATTTAAGTGCCTCTATGCTAAAATCCAAACATTGAAAATTTTAATCCTCAAGTCAAGCATAAAACTGGAGGACATCAGCTTAAAATTCATACAAAATTTCAATTTCAAATGCTAGTGACAGCTACAATGCAGTTTGTAAACTTTTGATCTTAAAAAGATGCTTAGAATCAGTGACCTACTACTTTGATCCTTGTTTCCTTTACTAGTGAACCTCATTTGATTCATGTTACCTGCTATTGAAATTTCAATAGCAACAATTCCTCCTCTTTTCAAAGAGGTTTCTACAAGTACACAAGCCAGGAAAATTCTTAGTAGCAAGTTATGTCAAAGGTGGTATCAGCATATCTCCATACATTTATGCCAATAAATGGAACTTACGTTTTAAAGATGGATCAAAGATTTTATTAGGATTTCTTAACTTCTTTTTTTGTTTATTCTTTGACAGAAGCTCAGAATTTCCATCTTCCTCTTCTTCCAGAGCACGTTTTCCCCGCGCACCTTTTTCTATTTCACTTTCTCCATTCTCCCTGCATCTCTCCTTTGGCCTGAAACAGTGAATTTCATCATAAGTTGCCTGGAGGGAAGACGTAGCTGTTCCCTGACCATTATTTTGGTTTACAGAAATCTGGGTAAACCATAAACCTTTCTATCACGGCTACAATGAAATGTCATTGCCCTTAGAAGTGGGATAGAAAAACCTAGCTTTTTTGGTTAACATTGGCAGTTAATAACAGAGATACTATCAGACATACCAGTTTAAAGTTGACCAGTTAAAGCTGACCAGTTAAAGTATGTTAGCTAAATTAGGCACATCAGGTTCTTGTTCTCAGCTGCAGTGGAATTCCTAATTTTTACTTTCCACAGAGAGAGAAATTTGAGAAGGATCCAAAGGAGGAGATGCAAACAATGAGCAACATCCCCACAAACAAAGCAATAACTAGGAAATAACCAAACTAGGGGGAAAAAAATCGTAAGTCTTCTTCAGTCTTTTTTTTTTTTATTTTAGTGAATGTAAGCTCCTAGAACAGAATCCATGGCTGATACTGATGGTATGGGTGGGAAAGGCCTATGAGTACCTGTAAGTATCAAAATAAATTACTCACCCTGGCCTGATGTATGGCTGACAGATCCAGTGGAAAAAAGGCAATCCTTCTTTTGGCTTTTCTCCTTCTTTCTGATTAGCTATTTCTTCCTGCAGCATAGAGTTACAGTCAGTCTTCCTGGAGTTGTCAGAAAATACACTAAATAACACTTCAAACTCCAGGAAATCACAAACTGAAATTTAAGCTAACAATTACTGACAGTTACATATAGGCAAAAAAAACCATCTAGTACCACAGATGAACTGAAGCACATTTGTAACTCCTAAATCAACTTTGTCTCAGATAAAGTTGTCCAGGCTTAAGGGGATGCTACTGTAGCAAGCTACAAATATCAAGGTTAGTAAGCCACAAAGTCCGAGAGAAGTGACTAATGGATGTCAACTCTATAACATACTTGGTACATTCCCACCAAGTGCAGGCAATGCTGTTCTGGGAGATTAGGGCCCATCTTGGTACCTGGCATCGCAGTTTCAGCTCCCTGTTGACATCGACAATGCCATCCAGAGTCTTCACTTTTGCTAATTCTTCACGCAGCTGCTGGTAAACTTGAAGCCTAAGGCAAAACCCAAACATCAGTTATATTTAGACTGCAATCAACTAAAAATAACTGTACAAAAGCATTTTATACACTTTTCTTGATTAATTTGCCTTTGTCAGAAGCTTATATTCCTCTTTGTAAGTCCAGAGAAAAGCACATATATGTCCCTTCCAGATATATACTCGGCAGACAACCAAGGTACTTTGACAAAAGCTAACATGAATGTACAGTGCATCAGCTGCTTCTCAGTAACTGCCCATAGCTGTGCTCTTACTCCACAATAAATGCAACAGCACTTTGCCTCACAATGAACAAGGAGATAGTTAACTTGTGTTTGCCATGGAGTGTGTGCACATGGGAAATTACCACATTGCAGCTGGCATGCTGTGAGATCACACCCTGGCTGATCTTGTGGCAACTTGTTTATTCCCCATGCCCTGTTTCCCAGATATGAAATAAAGGGTAAAGGCCTCAGCCCACACCTTCTCCACCCAGGTCCAGGAAAGAAAACTTTGCAGCATACTTATTCTGGCCAAACAAATCTTAGTCCAGAAAGCCCAGACACTTTCTAAGCAGGATGACCCCTGAAAACATTAAAGAGTTCTAAGTTGATACTCACGTGTGATGCCAGAGCTTGAAGAGATGAGCCCTAACATAAGACAATGGACATGGGTACTTCCGCACTATCTCCAGATACTCCTCAGCCATCTCCCACACCAATGGGTTCCGGCCCTCAAACAAAGCTGGGTTATGAAGATTACCTTCTAGGGAACGAAAAGAAATACTCAAGCTTTCATTTCAGGATTGAAACAAACGCCAAAATCTCTGCTCTGGAGTTTGATAATCTCTTTTGTGATTCTACAGCCACAGACACATCACCCACATACTCTCAAAAAGAACACAGGGTCTGTAATACTCTAATCTGACCTTGGGATACTGTATTTCACTATGCAATTCCTGATTGCGCTGAACAGCTCATATCTAATTAAAGTGCTGTTTCTAGAAAGGCATCTAACCTTGACAGGAAGACAGTAAACCAATTAATAAATAGAGAAATCACTGCTTTTGTTGCCCATCTGTTAAATACTGAAATGACAGGTCTCTTGCCTTATATCTGTATTGATATTTGTCTGGCCCAAGTTCACAGATACAGCTTCTCACTGTGCTTTTCTCCACTGGCTTCATAAGTCTTTTGTTAACAAGTATTCTCTAAAACAAAGATTCTACAACCCTTCTTTAATTGTGTGAGTGATTAGAAGCTTTTCTGATGCCTATCCTAGCTCTTCCTGTAGGAAATTATGTCAATTCTTTCTTGTCTCAACCCAACATGAAGCACCTGCAGGAATATTAACCCGCAGATCCACTTAGTTAATTGAGAACATTCAAAAACTGTTCCATTTATTAATAGATGTCACAAAAATATTCCAGGACAACAGGAGTCCCATATGCCTCCCATATGTCAAGTAATTACATTCGAGCTCAATGAGTCAATGGTATTGCAAGTCCAACACAACGATTCTTTACAAATTTTAAGGGATCCCTATTCCTGGTATGAGATGGCCAGTATAAGACAAGTGGGAATGGCCACTCAGCTGTCAAGCAAAGCTGTTCACCAAGTCAATCTGACATAAGTTTTTAATAAATGTATATGGAACTACTAAGGGAATAAGAAATAACTCATATTCTTTACCTGCACTCATGACACCATGTACTCCTGTCTTACGGATGCATTCTTGCACATCGCTGAGACACTGGATGTTTCCATTTGCAAATACAGGAATGTTTACAGCTTTTCTATACCAATGAATAAAACAGATGTATAAAACTGAGAATTAGAGTCAACCCAGAAATTCTCCTCCTGTCACATAAATTTGTTTGCTCTTCAGTGCCACTGTACACTCTGTTTAAAATCCAGTGTGCTAGCAGGAATCCACTAAGACTGGTACTGCTTACTAACCTTACAGCTTGAATGTGCTCCCAGGATGCCACACCAGCAAGTGGTCCTTTCTGTTCTTTAGTACGGCCGTGCACAGTCAGCAGCTGGAACACAACATTACATTTACTTTCCATGTGTATGAACTGGAATAAATCCACTGAAAAAAATTTCCTTTCACTCTCTACACTTCAGAGATGCCACTGAGTTCCAGCTGCTATTTCAACAGTGAAGGGAGTTTAGCAACACAGAAATATATCAGCAGCTCACCTACTGTGGCATTGTTTTAGGCTCCTTTAATCTTGCTATTCCATGGCATGACAAGATTCTATCATGGGAGAACCTACAGGTTTCCTTTCCTTTTCCTACTGGATTCCATTCGTGATTTACTTTGGAATTTGTGATATATTGATCTAGCTTTCTCAGCTGAAGGTCCAAATACTGTCTATACTGTATTGTCTGTCCATATACTGTCTATACCTTTTGATACCCTTTTTCTTCTACAGTACTGTGGATTTCATGCATTCATACTTGCCTCCTGCAGCACTATGTGAAGATTGAGATGCTCAACCACAGTGAAGGATGCTGCACAGTGCAGTGATTACAAGAGACTGAAATCACTGTATCTTTCGTACCACACTACTGATCTGCAGCCTGGGGCTGCAAACACACAGGATCTGTCTGCATCCTGTTTGCTCTGTCTGCAAAATAATGCAGCCTATTCAAGAACTGGTGAAGAACAGGTCATCAGATACTTTACACGAAGATACGTGTCCGGTGCAGGAGTAGAGGGAGCAGCTGCCTTCTTACCTGGCAGCCAGCTTTCTCCAGCATCTGTGCATACTTCACTGTCTTGTCAATGTCTGGGAAAATGCGGATTTTGCATGTGATGGGAACAGAGAGCTTCTCGTTAGCCAGTAAAACTGAGAAAGATTGAAAAGACAGGTAAGTGGGCTGCACAATGCTATGAAAAGTGTCTGCTCTCCTCAAGATCTGATACTGGGTGTGGTATGGAAGAAGTCTAAGAAGTTACTGCTATGCAGTTTTCACAGCTTAAAAAATCAGCAGTGTCCTCTTCAATCTTTACTGCATAGTTTAATCACGTAACAGTAACACACACATGAAACACAAAATCTGACCCTAACAAGATGGCATAAAATAGTCACCCATTTAATAGCCCTAATGCTTCCACTGCATTAAGTCTTCACTTTCAAAGACCAGCCCCTCACAACTTAATTATTGATACAAGTTTATTATCTTCACAGGCTATTGTACTCCTCCAACATTAACATTTGATTGTCTACCTTTCCCACAAAAAGGTGCTTCACTTCTTTGCAAATTATCACAAAAAAAAAATCATTATTAGTAGAGTCTTATTCATGGCAAGCAGAGTCTTAACAAATGAGGTAGGCTGTGGATGCAATCAAGTAGTAAAGGTAGCTTATAGTCAGGGTGAAATCTAGAACATGGTGAACTCCCAGTCCTTACACAGGACATGGAATCACAAAAATACCAAACAGAGAGCTAACAAAGAGAGACAATAGGAAATCACTGAGTAATGTTGTGTTTGAAATTCTCTTATTTTCCAAGAGCTTGGATATACAATGTAGGAAGTTACCTGCTGTCTTCTAATACAAATCCTATGAGCTCTAAAGAAAGATACTTCACATCACCCTTTCAAAGGAGCAAGCAAGGTGTATACAGGTGCAAGCATTTTAAAGGCAGTGAGGGGAAAAAAGGAGGAAGAGGACAGGTTAAGACACTTCTCTTACTGGATAGCCTGGGTTCACCCAACTAGATGGCCTTTGCACTTTGAGGCTATTCTGATTTGCATACTTCTCAACAGCCACATTACATACTGGGCAAGGATGCACTAATCTTCCAGGTTCTCAGCAGTGTCTTTATACCAAACATCACTCAAGATTCCCCAGATCACTGGGAATACAAACAGAAATAGGACTCTCTAACTTCATGGTTCCAACACTTGCTTTGAAGTGGGATGAAGGCACATTCTCAGTTCTACAAAATGACCAAAACCTTGCTTTTTATATCAGTTACAAATGAATTTCTTAAAAAATATGATACTGTTCACAACAGCTACTGATAGACTGAAAGTAACGTACAAAAATTAGGAGAAGAAAGGCATAATTTGCTATACTCTGGACAGAAAGAGTACACGGAGCTGATCGGAAAAGGGCAGCTGTGCCTTCCAGCAGAAACATGACCCTTGGCACCTGAGAACTTCAATGTGAAAAAGTAAGGCACTGGGACCTCTACTGTTTCTAGAGCTGGAGAGTCACTAAACTAGCATTATGAGACTGGAACTTAATTGATTCACTTTCACCTGAAGTCTGTTTCAGGTACAAAAGTCTTTTAGCAGATCTAGTGTGAGTTTGCAGTGGGATACCATCAAGTATCTTGAGGGTGCCACTGGAATACAGCATGAAATAAAAAAAATAAAAGAACAAGAAAGAACCGCCCCTTCAAAACCCAAACACAACTCTGCCCAAAGAAATATGATGCACCTCCTTTCCCCCAAAATCCCTAGACCTCCTCTCAATAATTAGTTCATCCTATTCCCTCTCTAAATACTTACCCATTCTCTGAAGAAGATCCCACTCCTCTTGCAGAAATGCTCCATAGTGACCTATGATAAAAGAGCATATGATGGACTTGTGCAGAAAAGTAAGATACTGAAGCACAGTTTTCAATAAACTCTCACAAAGATCCAGATACTCATATGCCTCACTGGCAGAAACATTGCTCTGTCCTGCCCTAGCTGGAAAAGTGGGATCATTATGTTCTCCATGCCACCCTAAATTTACAGGATAAACAAGAAATACCCACACCTGACTTTCACTGGAACTGCTCAAGGCTGATGTGTTGACACTTGCAGCTCAAAGTCCAGCTTCTAAGGGTTTATACCAGATGATTAATAAATCCTATTAGGATAACAGATGATCAGACTGAAAGATGTATTTGTACCACTAATAATTTCCTATTAGTCTTCAAAAGATATTTTAGAAGATGAATGGGCAGTTACTGAACAAATATTTTCTCAATACCTTAACTGATACAAAATTTTCAAACACTGGCTCTGGTTTTCAAACATGCAGTATCTAAGGGATTCAGCAGGTGTCATCCTCTTCTACACTACTGTGAAAAAACTCTGCACATATCAGGGAAATAGGAGATCCTAAGGGTCTGAATGATCTAATTTTAAGTGCAGTTTTTAAAAAATAGACTGAGCAAAAATCATAAAGAAAATCGAGCTCTTACTAAAACTAATGTTCCTGAAGGATATTCTAGACACAGGGGCTGACACTTCAGAGAAATTAGAATTAATTATATCTAATTTTTGCTTTAGGTACTACAAAAAGCATTACCTGCTACATTGGGTGTAACTTAAGTCTGACTTCAGCAGTACTGCAGCCTCCCCAAGGCTTGATTTGGCCCTCTTGATATTTTACTGCCAACATTCACATTTGAAATACCATTTGCCATTTCTCTGCTTATCCAGGATTCAGATTTGCACATACCTCTCTTTGCAATCATTTGGGGGCAACCCAAATTTAGGTCTATGGCATCACAGTAATCCTGAGCCAATAGTGCTGCTTGGACAAACACTTCGGGATCATTGGCACAGAACTGTGAAAACCAAAGAGAAGTGGAATAATCAGGCAATAGCTTTCTTCAAGTACTGACAAAACGTGATGATGTAGTTATGAAGCAACTACCTGCTAGAGGAAAAAGGCAAATATGCACAGTTAATAATACCAAACACTATTTCTCAAAATGATCAAGGCAAGCCGTGTGATATAATCTTTTTGGATCTCAGCAAAGCATTTGATACTGCTTCTCAAAGGATGGCTCTGACAAAATGCCCAGCCCACAGCTGGATAAACACATTGTGTGATGGGCACACAACTGGCTCATGAGTCAAGTGCAAGGAGTTATAGTGTGCCTTGTTTTGAAAAGACAGGAGCTTGTGAAGGAAGGCAAGAGCCTCCTGTGAAACGGAAAAGGTAAACTCCTTTCTGAATTACTACAATTTCAAAATTAAAAGGCTCTCAGGCAAAGATATGGGGATGGGAATAACAGTTCTTTACTAGAAAAAAAAACCTAAATAAAAAAAATGTAATTAGTACAAACAAAACTACTAATAGAGTCAGAAACCTAACACCCTAAGGAGTCAAGGTGTTGGTAATAGTCCAGTTAAATGGTGGCTGCTCTTCTTGGAGTGGCAGATGAAATGCTGCTAAAGCAATGATCTTGTAGAAGAGTGTAGTTTTCTCTGAAGGTTTAGTGATAGAGTAGATGGGCCTGGTCTTCCTCTGGGGATCCAGTGGGGAAGAAGCTGCTCCTCTGGGAATCTAGCAAAAAGGCTGCTCAAATGTCTTTAAAAATGCTGATTTTATGCAGGTAGGGCTTCTCCCTCTGGGTGGAGTATCTCACAATGGGATGATGCAACTTTACCAGTCATGCAGTGAGTCATCCAATGGCCCATTAATAGAAGGTACCTCCCCGGAGGGAGACATTGTTTTTAGAAGAAATAAGAAAACTGTTTAACTTAAGAAGAAATACCTGCCCTACTTCTAACAGATGGCAAATAGAATACATGCTTATTTTATAAGCCAGGACATAGCGACTGGGATGACATTAGGCTGGTGACCAGTCACACCTAGGGCTCCTCAGGGCTCCATCTTAGATAAAGCCAGAGCTCTTTAACAGCTCCATACATGACTTGTAACTCTGCTGACATTTGTAACCTTGCTGAGGATACTAAATTGTGAGGAGCTGTCTACACCCTGGGAGGCACAGAGACCCTGGAAAAGGACCATCAGAGGGCTAGGCAATCACAGACTATATGAAGTTTAATCGACAAGCAGCCTATTCTGAACCTGGGACAGGGTGACTCTGCATGTATGGACAGACAGGGGAACAAAAGGCTGGAGAACAGTGCTGCAGAAAGGGACCTGGGGGTCCTGGTTGATGGCAAGTTGAATATGAGTCAGCAGTGCCCTGGCAGCCTCTAAAATGAATTGCCATGGACTGTGAAACAGACACATGTGCTATAGTCAAATGCTCAATTTTAACTGAGTGTAATTAATATTACATTTAAAACACAGTGCAAAAAGCAAATTAATAAAATAGGTTATTTTGAAGCTTCTTTGTTGAAGAGGACAGAGACAAACTATTCTTCTCATTTATGCTTTTAAACAGATTTTCTAAACCTCATTTTTCACAAAAAACAATTCCATCATGTCTTTAATAAACTTGAAACAGAATTTAAACACTTCTGAGCAGGTGTTACTTAAACCCTATAGCACTACATAAAATTATGACTGACACCAACTAAAATAAAAAAATAATTTGCTTTCTCCGAGACAACTGAAATTATGGAAAGCCTCCAATCATGTAATGTAATGAGAATGTTAGCACAGTAAACAAAATCTTCAGAGCAGGCTGAGCTCAAATGTACCTCTGTTTAATCTAATTCCAAGACTCTGTGACCAAATCTTTAAGGACTCCTGCACATGATCAATCCAAAGATTAGTTTGTTCCATACTTTATATCCAATAGTAGCCAGTGGGAAGAAGGGTAACACAGCAAGCTCACAGCAACCGATCCTGTTCAGGTAGTGTCACCAGGGCACACAGCTTACTGAGCTGAAGATCTGTGACTTACAGCTTTCTAAGATTACTTGAATTTCCACCACTTTTATTATTCTGTGTCAAAAGAGACTACCTCCCACAGAAGAGGAATATATGAGATGCTGAGATTTGCTCATTTGGTCAGAGCATGGTATAGCTAGTAACACTAAGGCTGTGAGTTCTGTCCCTGTATAAACAATTTACTTAAGAGCTGGACTCAATGTACTTGTGGGTTGTGGATTTGTGGGTCCCTTCCAACCCAGAATATTTCATGATTCTGTGAAAGCTGTACTGAGACAGATCAAAGGTCAACACCAAAATGTGTAGGCAACAGCAGAACTGAAAAAGTGTCTTTATGGACTTTGGAAACAAAAGGTGTGTTTGTTGCACCTAAATATCCTCAAGAGTTTTCCTTTATTTGCTTTCTAAACTCATGTAATGTTTCAGAATCCAGCATATCCCACAGCAATGAATTTCACAGTTTATAACTACCACTATGCTTACTTGTTTCCCATTCATCATCTTCAGGCCAGTAATACTTCCACAGGCTTCTCTTATCTCTCTCCACAGTCAAGAGAAACAATTCTTTTCCAGGGTAAATAGTCCTCATCCATTTAATTGCTCATGTGTGTAAATCAGTCATTCCTCTGCTCATGACAACAGTCTTTGCCTGCATTATTCTCCAGCTCCACAAGCCACTTTCCCTCTTTGGCATAGAGTGAAATACCTTAACATCACACAGTAGTCCAGAAGCAGAAGCAACACATGCTTTAAAGTCTGTCCTATTTTCCTTGTGTTTTTTATCTATAGCTAAACACTGAACTCAGGGTTTCAGATTACTACTCAAAAAGCTGTGATCCTTCTTGAGTGGTATCAGATCTGGGACACACCCTTACTCTACAAGACCAACTGTAATCTGTTTCTAAAGATGAGGCACAGGGGACTGAAACCCTCTGAGAATTCCAGTGCTCCCGTCCACTGTGGTTAAGACAGGAAACTCTCTACTAAACATGGGATAAACCGAAAAACACACATCTGCAGGAGCTAAGTACTGTCAGCGGTATTTACATGAAGAAAACGATTTCTGTTACCCTATAGAACCACGTTAAAACGTGGATGAGGCTGACTACCTTCAACTCATGCACATTTGGGAAACGCCTGGATTTGTGAGCACGAGCTGGGCGGATGGAGCGCGTGCGTTTGGCAGCGCTGACTCGCGTCCTCAACGTTACCCAAGAACGGCACCGCGAGGTGCGCCCAGGGAAGCTCCTCCGGCAGCCGCCGCCGCCGCTCCCGGTGCTGGGGCTGACGGGGTGAGCCGGGGCGGGGGCCGCGCTCACCTGCACGATAAGCGGCCGGTCCTCGGGACAGGCCTCGTCGTAGAGGTTCTCTCGGCGGTAGTTGGCGTCCCTGAGGAAGACCTGGGCGTGCAGCATCGGTGTGTAGCAGAGCTGGGCGCCGTGGCGGCGGCTCAGTAGCCTCCAGGCCAGCTCGCTCTGGTCCACCATGGGCGCCACCACGTAGTGGGCGCTCCGCAGCGTCTCCCTCCAAAAGGCTTCCCCGCGCAGCTTCGGCATCTCCCGCTTGCTCGCCCGTGCAGCGTTGCGGCTGCTGGCCCCGGGGCTCGCCGCCTGACGCCCGCAGGCCGCCGCGACCGGGCCGGGCGCCGGCGCAGCCGGACGGTGCCACCGCCATCTCGCTCCGGCCGGCTCGGCGGTGCTGTCACGCACCGTCCCCTCCAGAAACCGCGGCGCTGCCAGTAGGGGCCGCGCGCAGGAGAGGCGCAGCGAACGCGGGGCCCGGGGCGGCTGAGGGGCCGCAGAGGGGCGGCCGAGGGGCGGCAGAGGGGCGGCAGAGGGGCCGCAGAGGGGCCGCAGAGGGGCGGCAGAGGGGCGGCAGAGGGGCGGCAGAGGGGCGGCAGAGGGGCGGCAAAGGGGCGGCAAAGGGGCGGCAGAGAGGCCGCAGAGGGGCCGCAGAAGGGCGGCAGAGGGGCCGCAGAGGGGCGGCCGGGGGCGGCAAAGGGGCGGCAGAGGGGCGGCAGAGAGGCCGCAGAGGGGCGGCCGGGGGCGGCAGAGGGGCCGCAGAGGGGCGGCAGAGGGGCCGCAGAGGGGCCGCAGAGGGGCGGCCGGGGGCGGCAGAGGGGCAGAGGGGCGGCTGGGGAGCGGCTGCTGCGGCGCCGTGCGCGGCGCTTTCCCCGCAGGTGCCGCGGCGGCGCAGCAGCCCCGGGTGGCAGCGACTCCCGAGCCTAAGCCAGGCGGCTTTGAGCACTTGGGCCTCCGCCGCAGCCGGTGCCGACGGGAAGCGCCGCGTCTGAGCACTGCAGGAGCTCGGACAAAGTGAGAAGCCTGTCCTGTCCTTGGTGTCGGATGGCCGGGGCAGAGGGGTGAAAATGGTACACCTAACTGAACCAAATGTTACAGCATCCATGACAATATCGTTCATTTTGCATAATTTTATAGAGCTACTGACCATCACCAGGGTGAGCACAGTGGAGGAGTTCTACTTCTCTCAGCCAATACCTTCCAGCATATAAAAAATGCTCTACTCCAGTGTATCTATACTCCAGCAATGTAACTTGAGTTACAGGACTTTAGAAGAGAAAAACTTCAACAAAATCATATAACAAAGCGCCATATCCTAACCAGAGTTACATGTAAACTCCCATTGCTCAGGAAGCCTGTTAGTCTATTCATTGACAAGCCTTCACATTTCAAATTCGTTGTCAAAGCCTGTATTTCCCCCCTCCACCTTGCTAGCACTCATGGCTATGATGAACTTGCTGCAATCAATATTTCAAGCTTCAAATTATTTTTTACCATCTTTCATTACCTCTTTGCATCCTAAAGAACAAGGCTGCTATTTTAAATATACAGCCTCTGCCTCCCCTGCTATCAGCACTCCCCTTTCCTCTGATGAAAATGCTCCAGGGGTATTTTTTTCTTTCTTTTGACCCTGATTTGCAGGCATGATGTCTGATAACTTGTTTAAGTACAAAAGAGACAAACACCTGCTTCCTATTGTACCTTAAATCTTTTGGGTTTTGCTTGACCTCCATCTCAGCACCAGGGAACTTCACTTTCAGGTAGTGCTATCTTATGTAACCAATTCTATTAAACTGTGGCCTTTCTTGCATTATTTTTATGGCAATCTTCAGCAAGAGAGGCATATTTATTTGCCTTCTAAGGTGGTAGACCAGAAAAGGAAAATAATAGCTTTAATACTGGTGACAACATATGCTGTGTGCCATATATTCTTGAACTCTATTGCAGATTTAAGGTACACGGTCCATTATTTCAAAATGGCAATGTGCATTTGTGAGCCTAAACAGTTCCCTGGTCAGAGAACTGCTCTTCAGTTTTGAGACTGAGATCAACATGCTTTTAGGCTGTGAGAAGCTATCTGAAAAGGATGGAATGCATCAGCTGACAGGAATCCCCCCACTTCAGTTTCACAGAGAGGGGTATGTGTGAGGGACTTCACTTCTGTCCTTGTCTTCTCACAAGAATAAAGTGCAATATTGGATTTTGCCTTCTGATATTCATGTCTAATCTAATGGGCTACTGAGAAATAAGCAATACCAGCACTAATAATGTTTTTATTTTTGGCACACTGCGTTCAGCAGCCAGTTATAATAATGGGTTACATGGCAGCAGCTCATAATCAGATAATTATGGGGGACAAAAGCCCTAAATGTAACAACCTTCTGCTTTTCAAATAACAATCACAAGAGCATTAACAGTATATAAGCTGTAAGTTATTCTTCAGCAATTTCTATGACTAAAACAGTATTTTCAAGCTCTGCTTAGATGGAACCATACAGCTTTGTTTATACAGGGAACTCAGCAAACTCCTGCTTCAACAGATGGGACAGCATTAGTCCTTGCTCCTTCCAAACAGTCCATTCAGATATTACACACATTACCACAGCACTATTGTACCTGTTTGCTTTACATTTAATCCTTTCTTATTCCTTCCAGTTTGAAATATAACCAACACGAGTAGGATTCTTTCCCCCCTTTTTTCAGGCTTACTACAACTGCCAGTAGTTAAACCAAACCAATTAGTCCCCATTTGTTTTATGTAGTACCCAATGCCAGTAGGTGCAGGGACAGTGTGCAGTAGATGTGATGAAGCCCCATGGTGTATGCACACAGCTTACACAGTCACTCCAGTGTCAGTATGCACTATCCCTCACACAGCACACGCTTTCCTCCTTACTGTCTAACACTTCCACATCATACCTAAAACTTCAGAGCATTTATACTCATTGCCTAACCTTACTCAGAGAGGCCCTGAGGTAGATGCTATTCTCCCATTTTAGAGATGGGAAAACGGAGGCAGGAGTATTAATGGCTTGTCCAATACTCCAAATAAAAGCCCACCTAAAAGTTCCCACTTCAATATTATGGCTGTAAATTTGTTATATCTAAGAAGCTATGCTTCAGAATACTGAGCCTTCGTTATTATTTTCATTATTACTACTACTATTATTATTATTATTTCTACAGACTACAAATCAGATATGTTAACAGCATTTTGCTTTTTACCAGGAAGTGAGAGACTCCAGATGAAACATGGGTTAAGAAATGATGGTAGAAAATAATTTAAAACCCAACCAGTGATGACTTCTGTTTAATACCAGAAAAGCCAAAAAGACACTCTTCAGACCAAAAAGTATTAATTAAAAGGAAAAAAAAAGAAAAAACAAGACATTTAAAAATGGTTTAAGCTGACATTATGTTGTTTTATTTCAATTTCACAAAAGAAATACTTTATAAAACTAAAATCAGTTAACCCAGCCACTATCAACAGAGGGTAGTATAAGCAAAAGACACTAGGTCAGAACCTGCAGTGAAGAGCCATCTGTTCCTGTCACTGGAATGCTCCTGTACCACCAGAACACTTCACTGGGGGCTGGAGAGAACCGGGGTTTTACAGCAGTTTGGAGAAGCATAATAGCTCCTCCTATTTGGTGCTTTGTTGCTACCCAGGTCTCCTCTGTATCATAAGTGTAACAAGGATTTACTGATTTCAGAAAGGACAGATCCAGCATAGCAAAGGCAAGAAATGATTCAATTCCATTTTATGCAAATTTCCTTTAAAAAGGTACTACTGTATTTTAAAATCAGACCATCAAACTGATTACTTAGCTAACTTATGTGGGATTTCCAGTCTCATTACTGAAAGGAAAATTAATACAAGGCTTAAGCCCTGTGCTAAATAAAATATATACGGGCTTTGGGTAGATACTTGTATGTTTGCCTGAGCTTTGATTATGGGAGACCAGGGGTGGGAGCATTTGTTCAGTTATTGTTAAGAAATTCTATTCCCTGCCCTCCCCATTCCAAATTTTTCATTGGGTGGCAAGACTGAAGGTGAGAGGGAATAAGGTAAAGCAATAATCTTAATGCTTTACTAAGGTTCTGATAAAGCGGGCCACAGAACCTTGCACAAATATAAACAAAGTACCTGCCTGGGACAGCTTTACCTATTTTTATCATGCCCAAGTTATGGCTGTTAATACAACAGCATCTGTCAAACCATCCACCCTATCCCCCAGGCCCCTCTCTCTCCTGAAGAGTACATGATGGCAAGAATCCTTCCTTTTACCTATTCCTTTCTGAAAAGGGCAGGGCAGTGGGAGAAAAAAAAAAACAAAAAACAACCATACAACAAACCAACAAGAAATTAGATTATTTCAAAGATGGGCAACTGTTCCTTATAGAATAAACCTTCCCCTCCAAAAAGGGTTTTTCTCTGCTCCTATAACCCACGATAAATTAAAACCAAGTAAGAAGTCTCTGGTTTGACACAATAAATACTTAGAATATAGCAAATTAAAAAATATAGTTACAAAACCCTCAATGGAATTATCTTTCTGACCTAAACTGCAGACAGATTCTTCACAGATAAAAAGTATCTCCAAAATCACCTGCAGCTCCTCTCCTCTCCCTGTTCACTAGGCTTGGTCAACAAGTGCTATCACATACCCTTTGGAATACTGTTAAGACAAAAACAATATAAAGCACAAGAAATCTACTCCTAAATTTGTTTTTTTATACTGCCAAGGGTGTAGGAAGCAACCATCTGTGGGGAACCTTCACTGCAGTGCACAGTGATGGAGTCACAGCACTACAGTTAATGTGGACAGGGAGACTAGGGGGAAAAACAGCCATAGGAAAGGAAGGAGACAGAACCCATAAGTGTTGGAAAAGGAGAAGATAAGCAAGAAAGAGACAGAAAAAGACCAATTGAGTCCAGCTGGACTTCCCAGTTCTGGCAGCAGAGCAGATGAGATGTTGAACAGGAAGAGTTCCTTGGGGCCTGTCATAACTAGGAATGTTGTTGGCATTTTCTTCATCATTGACAGTGAGGGAGTAGAAGTTAACCCTCTCTGACACTGACACGTGGCTCTGCCAGTGAGCTGTGGATGATCCCAATAATTGATTCAACACCATCTCCCTCCAGCAAAGTGCGGTGGTCTCCTTCAATAACGTGGACAGATACTTTCCCATCGCATACCTGTGTAAGTATGAGAAAGAAAAATTTTTCATTCATAATTGACAACCAGCTGGTCACCTAGCCACTTTGGGTTTGTTAGTCTAAGTTACTCATAATTTAGACCACTGTCTCTATTGAACTCAGTTACAAATAGCACTGGTTTTATTCTGACAC